ACTATCCACTTTATATTTCCACCAACCGTAAAGAAAGAGTTGCTTTCTCTATACATCATGCCAGTAGATTTTGTTTGTAGTCTTTTAATACGACCTTTTTCATAGTGGTAAGGCCCTATTTCATTGTAGTTTTATTTGTATTTCACTAATAGTAAGTGATAATATTTTTCATGTAAGAATGTAGTTGTTTCTATCTTTTTCTCACAACCATTTACTTGGTATGCTTTACATCCCTTTTTTTTACACTAGGTGTTTTTAGGTTTCTTGTTTGTTTATTCTGTGTATGTTTTTATAATTGGCGTGTTTCCTGTACACTGCACATAGTGTGGTTCATTTTTTGATCTGACTAGTCACTCTTCTCTTTCCATTCACGTATTCAATCTGTTTACATTGGGTAATTAATTAAAATGAAGTGTTTTCTGGTTATTATGTGAATCAGTTTCTTTTTTCTTTTATTTCTATATGTTTTTTCATCTGACTAGTTTCCGTAGTGATTTTCAGTTTGTTCTTTTTTCCAACTGTCTTAGCTCCAGATTTTGTTTTGGGTACCATTAAGGTTTATATAGAACTTTATGCATCTAAGATACTCTGTTTGGGGCGGGTGGTGGAGGGCGTGGGAGTGTAATCACCTTGTCTATGATCTTTATGCTGTATTTGTTTTCCAACTCAAGGAATGTAGTTTTAAATCCCCTGTTTTCTTTTTATTTGTCTAATGTATTTCTGTTTTGTCTTTTTTTAAAAAAATACTTATTTATGGATACAAGAGTGGATGCAGGCCAGAGGTGAGGGTGGTGAGAGGGTTCACCAGAGACAGAGTAGGGAACATAACAGGCTGATTAACCAAAGTACACTGCTGAGGAGGGGAGCTGAGACCAAGTCAGGAGAGGTCTCCTGCTGTATGTGGCCAGCCAGAGATTGAACTCTCGCTGCAGAGGCTGTGGACAGCTTCACAGGTTGCATCTTAACCACTTGTGCCACCAGGGAGGCCCTGTTTTTATCTTTTTAAGTAGAACTCCTTTCAGTACTTTTTGCAGCTAAAACTAATAGTGGTATGTTTTATTAGTTTTTGTTTGGGGAAGACTGTTTCTCTAATAATTAAATGATACTTATGCATGGTGAAGAATTGTTGCTTGATTGTTTTTATCATTTAGAGTTTTGACTATGTCATTTTATTCTCTTCTGGCACAAGTTCTGGCTTGTGCCAAGAAATCTAGTGATACCGTGAGGAAGAAATTTCTTTATACCTTCTATGTTTTTTTTTTCTCCTGCAGCCTTTACTATTATAATACTTTTATCAACCCTAAACTAGAAAACTGTCTTCAGGGGAAACCCAATAGTAGTGGGCTATGGAGGTCTTTGTGGTGTATGCTGTGTGGTGGTAATAATCTGAGAGGGAAGATCTTTTTTTTTTTTTTTTTTTTTTAAGATTTTATTTATTTTTGTATAGAAGAACTGGGGAATAGGCCAAAGGTGCAGAGGGTAAGAGGATTGAGCAGAGACAGTGGGGAGCAGAACAGGTAGATCCACTGAAATACACTGTTGAGGGGAACAAGGAGACAGAAGAGGTCTGCTATACCATATGCGCCAGCTCCCTGACTGGATTGAGCTCATGCCATTCACAATAGAAACTGCAACTTAACCCCTAGGTCACCAGGGAGACCCCAAAGGAGTAACCTCAGTGTGTGTGTGTGTGTGTGTGTATTCTATATTGTACTTTTGGTTATTTTACAGTGATGTATCTTAGTTTAGGTACTTTTTTACATTTAAAAATTCAGGTTCTGAGCCTCCCCTGGTGGCACAGGCAGTTGAGCGCAGTGCTGCGAAACTGTCCACAGCCTCTGCAGTACCGGTTCGATCCTGGCCGGTGGGCGAGGGTCCCACATAGCATGCAGATCTCTCCTGTCACACCCACTGCTCCCCTTAGCAGTGTATCTCCCGTCAGTCTGCCTGTTTTGTTCCCCACTCTGTCTTACACTCCTGTGCATGTGGTCTGTACCCCGGTTCTTGTATAAATAAATAAATCTTTAAAAAATTTAAAAATAAAATAAAAACTCAGGTTCTATTGGCTTCAAGGATATGTATAGTTATTTTTTTCCTTAGATTTGGGAAAGTCTCAACTAATGTAAATAAAATCTCTGCTCGCTTCTTCTGGAATAAGATAAACATTTTCAGGAAATTTTTTTTTTTCATAGAAGCAGAAACAATTTACATACAGTATTTAGTGAGACAGATAATTGAGAACTTGATCAAAGTACCTTATCGCTATTTGTGTATAAATAACTAGTCCAGTGTGTATGGGTGTCTGTGTATGTGTGAGACCTTCTGATAGACAAGGAAAAGAAAGACATGTTGCCTTGCTGTCCCTTCATGTGTTGGACTGACAGTTAAAACAGCCCCAAAGATCATTAACATGTCCTGATGTTAATAAGTCTTGGGATATTTGATCTTTAGCTCATTTTCATTGTATTATCTAATACTAAATACTCTTCGTTGTATATAATATTAAGTATACCTGAATTATATTTTACTTTGTGTCTGTTTTCTTTACAGATAGCTCAACAGTAGAAAAATTAAGAACTACTTGTTTAGAACATGTAAAACTTGGAGAAAGTAATCTTGTTCCATCTCTTGAGTCACTTTTCTTTGGTCCTTCTGCCTCCCAAGTGCTATACCTAACACAGGTTGGATTTTCTTCTGTTTCAAACCTGTACTTTTTATACCGAATTTTAGTAATGATAAGGAAATAAAAATTATTATAGTTTCTTCTTATACTTCAATACAATTTCTCCCACCTTTTTTTTTTTCCAGGTTGTTTATGCCTTGTTAATGCCTGCCATTACACCTCTGGCAGATAATTCTTCTGACTTTCAACTTCATTTTTTGAAGAGTGGTGGCTTACCTCTTGTACTGAGCATGCTAACAAAAAATAACTTCCTGCCGAATACAGATACAGAAACTCGAAGGGGCACTTACTTCAATGGCCTTAAAATAGCCAAACTGTTGTTAACTGCAGTAGGTTATGGTCATGTTCGAGCTGTAGCAGAAGCTTGTCAGCCTGTTGTAGATGGTACTGATCCCATTAAACCGGTAATAAGTTTTTTTGATTTTTTTAAATGTTTCATGTTAATATCTAATGCTTTAAGTTAAGGTTTTCAGTGGTTTTTAAGTGGAGAATGTAATTTCACCTCGATCTATGCAATTAAGATTGTGTTAAAAATGTAAATATTCTGTACACTAATCTTAGAGTTTTCATTCTTCAAAGTCCATGTTGAATTTCCATTCTTAATCTCACAGAAACTTTACTTCAATCTTTTGTTGACTTACATCAAAGAGAGGTGGGGTTTTTTGTTGTTGTTGCTTTAATTTTTTATTTTTTACATCATCATTCATTTTTAAACAATATTAGCTTCCCCTGCCCCAACCCCTCAGCTGTAGTCTCCATAAAATTTCCCTCACCCTTGCAGCATCACCACAGTGCTCTGTGCCTCTTTCTCCCTCCCTTTGAGCCCTCTCCCTCCTCCTCCCCTGCAGTATGTCTCTAATTTATAATTGTCTGTTTTTGTTTTGTTGAGTTTGTACTGTTGTTTTTTTTACACTGATGTCTTTTTTCTTTTTTTTTTTTTTCTTTGAGTATTTTTTCACTCCTAATTAAATCCGATTCCTTTTGTTTTCTGCATTGTTCCATAACATCTAAGGCAATATAATAATGATAGTTTAACTTTTTTCTGCAAATATAACATTTTTTTTTTTTACATCATTGTTCATATTTAAACAGTATTTGCTTCCCCCCACCTCCTCAGGTGTAGTCCCCATAGAGTTTCCTTCACCAATGCACCCGTGCACCATCACCTCAGTCCCCTGTGTTCCTTCTTCCTTCCTTCCCTCTGACCCCTCTCCCTCCTCCTCCTCTGCAGTATGTCTCTGATTTATAATTGTCCGTTTTTGCTTTGTTTTGTTTTGCATTGTTATTTTTTTACACTCATGTCTTACTTTGTTCCCCTATGTTCTTGCTATAAGTGAAACCATCCAATATTTTCCATTTTCTTTCTGACTTATTTCACTGAGTATAATTCCTTCCAGCTCCATCCACATTGCAGCGAATGACATGATTGCTATTTTGATTGCTAAATAATATTCCATTGTGTGTGTGTGTGTATATATATATGTATATATACACACCACATTTTCTTGATCCAGTCATCTATTTTTGGGCATTTGGGTTGTTTCCACGATTTACCTATTGTAAATAGTGCTGCAGTAAACATAGGGGGCAGGTGTTCTTTTGAATCAATGTCTTTGTGTCCTTTGGGTAGATCCCTAGGAGTGGAATTGCTGGGTCATATGGTAGCCCCATTTTTAGTAGATTGCGGAAGCTCCAGACAGCTTTCCATAGTGGTTGGAAAGGAGAGGTGGTTTCCGAAGAGAAGATATGCCTTAATTGTTGCCTACCTTTTTCCTAACTATTTTATAAACACAACAAAGACTCTGTCTTTGCTTTGTATCATCTTTGATGAATATCACCATGTATCCTCTAGCTTTGCTGAGACTTGGTGCATAGGTTGAATGAGACACTCAATTCTCAAACATCTGTGTATTTTAGATGAAGTAATAGTATTTCTGAGATTTATGTAAGTTATTATGCTAAGGCTTTTCAATTAAAATAAAATCCCTAGGATTCTCTCACATTATTTTCCAATGGGATGGACAGATTTATTTGTATGAGAGGTATTCAATGAAAGGAATTTGACCTTTATATGATAATTACCAAAGATAGATAATGGGTTCTTGGTAGTTTACTGCAGTTTTCTATTTTATATAATATTAAGATTTTTCATAAAGAAAACTTCTTTAAAATGCTGTAGTACAGGGCCTCCCCGGTGGTGCAGCGGTTGAGCGCTGGGTTGCGAGGCTGCCCACAGCCTCTGCAGCGCCGGTTCGATCCCCAGCTGCTCCCCGGCCACCGGAGGAGGGTCCCGCATGGCACGCAGACCTCTCCTGCCGCCTGCTGCTCCCCTCAGCAGAGTACTTTGTCAGTCTGCCTGTTCTGCTCCCCGCTCTGGCTCTGGTGAATTCTCTCACCCTCCCACGCTTCTGACTGTACCCAGTGCTTGTATAAATAAATAAATAAATAAATAAATAAAGTGCTGTAGTGCAATTTTTTTTTTTTTTTTTAAGATTTATTTATACAAGAACCAGGGTACAGGCCAGATGCCTGGGAGGGTAAGCGGATACACCAGAGACAGAGCGGGGAACAGAACAGGCAGACTAACAAATACACTGTTGAGGGGAACAGTGGGAGAGACAGGAGAGGTCTGCTGTGCCATGTGGAATTTTTGCTGTCCAGCTGGGATCAAACCTGCGCTACAGAGGCTGTGGACAGCTTCACAGTGCGGCACTCATCCACCAGGGAGGCCTAACAAAATTTTTTTTTTAATATTGATTTATTTATGCATATAAGGACTGGGATAGAGGCCAGAGATGTGGTGGGGTGAGAGGATTCACTAGAGATAGTGTGGGGACCATCAGCTGTAATACACTGCTAAGGGGAGCAGCAGTCGAGACAGGAGTAGGTCTGTTGTGCTATGTGTGTCATTTCCCTGCTTGGAGAATGAACCCATGCTGCAGTGCCTTTGGATAGCTTCATAGTGCTGCGTCTTAACCCCTAGCACTCCCAGGGAGGCCCAGTACAGACAAATTTTAAAATAAATTTACAAAGCTGTCTTCCGTAAGTTTGAGTGCTTTACATTGAGGCTTCAAAAGAGTACGTTCTGTCGTGATTTTTACCACAGGAAATTAATGAAATATATTCAGAATTGTTTCGTGTTTGTCCAGACCTTGTTCCTAATATATACAACTTGGAAAATAATGTACTTAAAGGTGAGCAGGTACATAGTCACCTGTCTAATCTCAAAGAACTTCCAAGTAAGCAGCTGAATGCAAGATTAATTTTTAAAATATTTATTATGAGGCTACCTACAAAATAGAGAAAAGAATTACAATTTGAAAAAAGTAACTATTAAATAGTAACTATTTCATAAAAAATTATTCCTCACAGATTTTAAGAACTTTTATATTGTTAAATAAAAAATTGTTGGGACTTTTGCATTTCTGCACTTTTTATTATTACTTCATTATAATTCCTTTTCCATGAAGAGTTTGAGTTCTCTCGTGTGCATTTGTAGAACAACTGGGATATAGTCCAGAGGTGCAGGTGGATGAGGATTCACCAGAGACAGAGTGGGGAGCAGAACAGGCAGATCTGTCTAAATACACTGCTGAGAGGAACATCGGGTGAAACAGGAGAGGTCTGCTGCACCATGTGGGTCAGCTTCCTGGCCAGGGATCCAAATCTGGCTGTGGTGGTGATAATGCTGAGACTTAATCCCAAGACCATCAGGAAGGCCCACAGTTCTCTTCTTTTTTGAATAGAATTAATCTCTTCTGCCAGTACTGTCATTAAAGCGAACAGTTATTTTTACATTGCAAAGTATGCCTGGTCCTGAATTCAGTTTTACTTAGTTGAATTGGAAACCAATTTAACAAGGATGACCTTAACCTGAACAATTTCATTGTAGAAAAATTATGGTAAACCTTAAAATCACTTGTTAGAAAATTTGAATTACCAAATATAAAACATGTAACTGTTTTTCAGCAACTAACCTATTATACTGACATGGGACTCCCTGGTGGTGGTAAAGACATAGCGCATTCAGGCTGTCACCAGCCACTGCAGCACAAGTTCAATCCCTAGCCAGCCACAAAGCTACCCACATAGTAGCCCTCTCCTGTCTTTCTCACTGCTCCCCTAAGCAATGTATTTCAATAGATCTGCCTGTTCTGCTTCCCACTCTCTCAGATAAATGCTCTCACATCCTCTTGCCCCTGCACCTCTGGCCTATACCCCAGTTTTGTATGCATAAATAAATATATACTTTATTTATTAAGATTTATTTATTTATACAAGCACTGGGTACAGTCAGAAGCACAGGAGGATGAGAAAATTTGCCAGAGCAGGGAACAGAACAGGCAGACTGACAAAATACACTGCTGAGGGGAGCAGTGGGTGGCAGGAAAGGTCTGCGTGCCATGTGGGACACTCCCGGTGGCCGGGGATTGAACGGGCGCTGCAGAGGCTGCTGGCAGCTTCGCAATCCAAGGCTCAACTGCTGGTGCCACCAGGGAGGCCTTATATCTTTTTTTAAAAAAGGCAATTTATATTACCAGAGGATTTTGGAGGTGATGTTAAGAAAAATTTACATGCTAACTGTGTACAAATTAGTTTATTGGAAAAATAACAATAGCATATATTGCTGTTCTATGCTGATGACTATTAATCATTAATGTAGTCTTATTTGCTGCATGATTCACGTTTATGTTTTGTTGTCATGACAGTTTAACTCCAAACAAAAAGGGTTAACTCTGAAGCTATATTTTTAAACTTCACTATATTAGCTTTTTATATGAAACTTCATAGTAGTAGTATCTCAGTTATTAAAGATTTTAAATTATTTTTCTCTCAATAAACATTGAATACCTGATTTGAGGCTGAAGAGTAGAGCTGAAAACATTATATTTGATCATCATCTGTTTTGCCCACCTGGTAGCTTCAGAAACATCTTCACACATATTTCAGTTTCTTAGAACATCTGTATTTTGAAGACATTCTTATAAAATTTGACAGTAAAAAGCTAATCAATTGCAGTGAATAAGTTCTGGTGAGCTTATTTGAGCTTGTTTGGGGTGAATGTTTGAGCACAAGGTAATAAAGTATACTTGAATGAAATTAGACATTAAATTAGGTGAGAGGGACCCCCCTGGTGGCATTGGCAGTTGAGCGCAGTGCTGTGAAGCTGTCCACCTCCTCTGCAGCTCCGGTTCAATCTCTGCCAACTGGCGAAGGTCCCACGTAGCACGGAGACCTATCTCGTGCTGCTCCTATCTTACCTGCTTCTCCCTTCAGTAGTGTGTTTCATTTCAGTCAGTCTGTCTGTTCTGTACCCCACTCTGTCTCTGGTGAATCCTCTCACCATCTTGCACCATCTGGCCTGTACCCCGGGTCTTGTCTAAATAAATAAATAAATAAATTTTTTTAACAAAATAAATTAGATGAGAGATGTAAATTCAAAGATTAGGGGTAAGAGGGCCTCCCTGGTGGCGCAGCGGTTGAGCGCTGGGTTGCGAAGCTGCCCGCGGCCTCTGCGGCGCCGGTTCGATCCCCGGCTGCTCCCTGGCCACCGGAGGAGGGTCCCACATGGTGCGCAGACCTCTCCTGCTGCCCACTGCTCCCCTCAGCAGTGTAGTTCATCGGTCTGCCTGTTCTGTTCCCCGCTCTGGCTCTGGTGAATTCTCTCACCCTCCCGTGCTTCTGACTGTACCCAGTGCATGTATAAACAAACAAACAAATAAATAAAACATGCCTCTATTAAAAAAAAAAAAAACAAAGATTAGGGATAAGAAATTGAAGTTCTCTTTATTTGGCACCTTCAGTTGCCTTAGTCATACAATGATGGGGATAATTACCTATTCAGAAGGAAGACCTTGGAGAAGGATTTACCTAGAGACATCTAAGGATTTGTTAAACTGTGAATTAACTCCTGCAAATGACAGTGAACCCAATTGTAGAAATGTTGAGCTTATCTAAAATTGGAATTTATAGAGTACATTGTTACTTCAGAAGGTAGAGAGGAAATCTACAGTTTTACCAATCTGAAATCCTTTGAATGCAGATTACCGTAAATTCTAAGATGAATATGTGGAAGAATGACATCCTTCGGAGCCAGTGATAGCAAATTACAGGGTTTTTATGAAATACAATTTTTTAAAGTATGTACTGTTTTTCATTCCAAGTGAAAAAATTAACTTTTTTCAGATTAACCAGGTTACACATGATCAAGCAGTAGTGCTGCAAAATGCTCTTCAGAGCATTCCTAATCCATCATCTGAGTGTATGCTTAGAAATGTATCAATACGTCTTGCTCACCAAATCTCCAATGAGGTTAGTATCAGTGTTTGAAAGCTTTCAGTTCTTGGATGGCTTATTCTCTGTTCACCCTTAACATAAAAATTCACAATTTGATCTTTAACATAAGTTCCTATACCAAATCATTTCAGTTTTTGTCCTATTTTAATGCTAAATTTTCACAAAATTGTATTTGTTATCTATTAATACCAGTACAGTAAAAAGTATTTTAAGCAGGTATTGTCTGAGCTATAAAGTGAAGAAAAGTTTTCTGTCCCTATGTAGCTTATCCTTCTAACTGACACTTATTGCTATAAGGCAACCTTTTATTTTAGAGTAGTTCTGATTTTCTTAACTTTTACATAAAGATGATTATGTTGTATATGTTTTTGTATCTAGATATTTTGATTGACATGTTTTTGAAAATTGTGTTAGTAAATCTTCAGTTTATCATAACATTGAGTAATACTACATTTTTTGGTTATATTATCTTTTCTGTTGGTTAACATTTGGATTATTTATTTCCTATTTTAAATATTGGGAATAAACTTTTGAAAATTCATGAATCATAAATGTATTAGTATGATATTTTAATCTAGTATGATAATTTAATGTGTATAATCATGGGAAAGAAATGACTGAATAGCTTGGTTTTTCCTATGTTTTAAAAATTCTTAGAAAACTGTTAAGGTTAAATTTCAACTCAAAACACACTGAAATTTTTGGCTTTATTTAAATAAATTTTATGATATCATGTGAAGTCACCAAATATGTGATCAGTGCTACTTTGACCTTACAGAGAATACAATACATACTCACCTTTTTTCTGTCTTTACAAAAAGAAACATTTTCTAATGATTTCTTATACAATCCTGTCAGTTTTCTCTGTTGTCATTTTCTTATGTTATAAAGAGAAAGATACTGTTTGCATGGTACAACTTCCCTTTGGGAAGTTCTTGATACCTTTTCAGGTCGAGATGTAATTACAATTTTTTGCCTCATAGAAGCAGCTTAAAACCTTTCTAATTACTCTCTCTTTTTGGGGAATAGGCGTCAAGATACATGCCTGATACTTGTGTAATTAGAGCTATTCAGAAAATCATCTGGGCATCAGGATGTGGGGCTTTGCAGCTAGTATTTAGACCAAATGAAGAAATCACTAAACTCTATGAGATGGTAAGAATTATTGCAGAAATACATTCCTTTTATATTAATATGAATTGTATCTGTGACTAAATTTTGAGTCTGCCATCTTTAAATTTCAAGTCAATAGTTAAGATGAAAATACATCATCTGAGTGTATTCTTAGAAATCCATCATCTGAATGTATGCTTAGAAATGTATCAATACATCTTGCTCACCAAATCTTCGATGAGCTTAGTATCAGTGTGAGAAAGCTTTGGGGTCTTGGATGGCTTATTCTCTGTTCACCCTTAACATAAAAATCCACAATTTGATCTTAAATTTTATTTTTTATGTACTTTAGGATAGCACTATCAGAAGGCTTTTCTCTAAAAAAAAAAAAAAAGTTTTTAACTTCTCATATTGAAGGTAGTTCTGTCATATGAATGTACTTTTCCCATATCCTTTTAGTTATTCTTCCTCAAATTTTTGTATCATGTAAACTTTGGTCAAACTGTGTTGTGGAATTGTATATGCTCTTTCAGTATTTCATTTGGTTCATTTTTAGCACCATTTGTATATTATATGTACCATTTGTATATTATTTCCAACCTTGAGTTCAGCAGATTATTTGTAAAAATTAAATCCTGTTTATCTCTTTGATTGCCTATATTTCCGTGTCCTTAATTGACAATTTTATATATTTAAGAGAGTAAAGTGAGTCTTAGCATTGCACAGCTTCAGCTTTCCTTTTTGGAATATTTGCTATCTTTTCTGTTCGAGATATGTAAGGTAATAATTTTCATAAGTAAAGGCAGATTAAAATTGGCCTCTACATAAGTATATTTTAGGTTAGTAAGTCTTCCATAACTTTCCTAAGAATTTGTGTAAATCACTTTCTTCTTTAATAAAATATTATTGAGGTAACCTGTAAGGTAGAACTACTAAACAGGACCCTAACGCCAGTACCAGAATCATTGATTGTTTAGAAGGAAATCATGTTTGATTCAGAAATACACCAGTCACATCCTGAAGCACAAGAAAATGATACTGTAGCTTTCATTGAGCATCCTCCTGTAATCTTCTTCGGTAAATATTACAAAGTGCTTCAAAAGTGGTAGATGAAAAAATTGAAATCAAAAAATCTTTAGTTAATAGTTAAGTGTTAAGTCCTAGCTATAAGGTTTGTATGTTTTTTCTTTATAGTATCACTCTGTAATTTACTCCTGATTATTATTTTACAGAGCACCAATGTGAGGAATGAGCCAGACACAGAAGATGAACAAGTTTGCTGTGAAGCATTAGAAGTGATGACACTATGTTTTGCTCTAATTCCAACAGCATTGGAAGCGCTTAGTAAAGAAAAAGATTGGCAGACATTTATTATTGACTTATTATTACACTGTCCCAGCAAGTAAGTGAATTTATTTTTTAATTTAGAAGACAAACCTTGTCATTTTAAGCAGTAGTAAATTAATTTTAACCAAAATCTATCTCAGTCAGATAGAAACCTTTTCTATATAGCAATTATAAAATTTGTATTTTCACCTAAGATATTTTCACATAACCTTAATTTGTTGCCCTTCAGAAATGCAAAAGTTGATTTTTTTTTTTAATTTTTTTTTTTTTGGTTTATTTATTTATTTATACAAGCACTGGGTACAGTCCGAAGCACGGGAGGGTGAGAGAATTCACCAGAGCCAGAGCGGGGAGCAGAGCAGGCAGAAGGACCGAAGTACACTGCTGAGGGGAGCAGCGGGCGGCAGGAGAGGTCTGCATGCCATGTGGGACCCTCCTCCAGTGGCCGGGGAGCAGCCGGGGATAGAACTGGCGCCTCAGAGGCCGCGGGCAGCTTCGCAACCCAGTGCTCAACCGCTGCGCCACCGGGGAGGCCCCCAAAAGTTGATTTTTATGCTGGTGTTTTTCTGCAGTAAATTCAGAATTACAAAACGTTTCACATACTAATCGCTTTTAAGAGATCATCTAATGAAATTGGGCCTCCCCTGGTGGCGCAGTGGTTGAGCGCTGGATTGCAAAGCTGCCCGCAGCCTCTGCAGTGCCAGTTCGATCCCCAGCTGCTCCCCGGCCACCAGAGGAGGGTCCCACATGGTGCGCAAAGATCATCTAATGAAATTAAGTTAAAATTCACAGGTTGTGCATTCTTACTGGTACTACCTAAATTTTTTATGATCTTAAAGTATTTTAAGACTTTCATCCCCATGCCAAGACTGCCTAACCCCTTGATACCTCAAGTAGAACTCCACACTGATACTCCCTTTGGTTTATCTTCCTTCATTTACCATGTCATTCTAAAGGTTTCTCCATATTTTAGTATGTCATTCAGTTTCCTTCCTTTTTAAAGTTGAATAATACTTCATTGTATTTATGACATTTTATACAGTCATTTTTTGATGGTCATTGGGACTAGTGCCACCTTTGATAGTGTGTGCTATCAAACCTGCTTTAGTCCTTATCAGTTTTTGAATACATATTTAGAAATGGATATGCTAGGTCCCGTGATGATTTTATGTTTAACTTTTTGAAGACTCATCAGGTACTGTTACACAATAATATTTTACCATTGTATACTTTTACCAGCATTGAAGAGAATTTCAGGTTTCTTCACATCTTTTCACACACTATTTTTAAAATTTTTTTTTAATTTTTTATTTTTTTAATTTTATATATTTTTACATCATTTTTCATTTTTTGCACAATGTATGCATTTTCATCTTGGTTATTTTCAGAATTTTTTGCGTAGTAGCAAACCTGATGGTTTCCAAACAGTATTACTTATCTAATGGTTAATGATACTGGCCATCTTTTCATGTGATTTTGCTACATTTTTTTATTCCAGCCCATTTTCATTTGTGTTATATTAATTTTCTGATCGGTTTTTCCATTTCAGCACTAAACATTTGGGGTTTTGAAATAAATTACATTAAATCTGTCGCTTTCGTTAGGTGGTATTGACATTTTATTACAAGTTTTTCAACATGAAAATACTTGGCTTTTTATTTCTCTTAACATTGTCGAGTATTCTTAGTTCTGAAGTATTTCTGAAGTATTTCAGTATTTCCTGTTCTGAAGTATTTCACTCTGGTGTATTATAGGTCTAAATGATTTTTTAATTTTTTTTTGTACTGTTCCAATTAGTATCTGGAAGTGTTACAGGGGAACCCCAATATGAAATGGGTTGCTTGACTGTGGGTCCTCACCTGCACCCTTAAAAGGGATTCATAATGCTAAACTGCAGGCACATACAAAAGGTTAATAAGAGGTTTATTTGCAAGAAAGGGGAAATGAAGAAATGAGTAACTCAGGGAGAAGATGGAGATAAATTCATGAATGCATCCTACCCGTCTAGCTAACCTTGAAGCCCAGTGACCCATTGAGAGCTGGAAAAAAGCCAAGCGCGGTGAGGCCAATAGAGCAACCCCAGTTCACATGGCTAGTTATACACCCAGACAAAAAACATGGCTGCTTAATTCCACCCTCAGGTCCTTGCAACCCTCCTGTTGGTGCCCATGGTATTTGTAGTTCCCAGTATCTTGATGGAGTGGGGGTAGAGTCCACAAAACCTGTGAGGAATTTGCTCAGGACAAACATTTCCCCCTAACATTAAAACTTCTGTGGGGTTTTAATGTTGGTTTAACATTTTAAGTTTTTACTGTTTTGTTCTTCTTTGAATTATTTAGGGTTTTCTCAATTATAAGATTAACTCATTTGCAGATAAAAATTAAGTCTACTCTTTCAATTTAGATGTGTTTTTCATTTACCTTTATTTTGTTTAGTTGAAACTTTGTCTTACTCCTGAGACAGAAGGAAAACTTTCGGTCTTAATCTTTGAAAGTCTGACAATAGCAATAAGATAACTTATTGAAAATTTCAAGTATTTTTTCTCACTTCATTGACCTGGTCATGTATGTTTTTAAAATGTTGATTTGTGTATAAAGCCACTCATTCTTGGAATAAATCTCAATTATCGTGTGTTTTTAATTATTACGAATGTATTTGCTAATATTTTGTCTGATTTTTATTATAAAAAATACATAACACAATTTACCAATTTAGATGTCTGCAGGTAAATCCTGTCAAATATGGGTGTGTGGGAATTGTATGGGGAGTATAACCAAGATGAAAATGCATACATTGTGCAAAAATGAAAAATAATGTAAAAATATATAAAATTAAATTAAATTTTAAAAAAACTTACCAGGAAAAAAAAATCAATTAATGTAATTCATAACATTAACTAACTAAAAGAGAAACATTATATAGTGTTTTCAGTATAGGCCCCAAAGTGACATATTCCAATATCCAGTCATGGTAAAAATACACAACAATAAAAATCTCTCACCAAACTATTTATTTTTTACATGGTTATGTAATAGAACTCTAGAACATCTTCATCTTGAAAACTGAACCTACTCCACACCAGTTCTCCCACCACTTCATCTTTACTATCCCTCCACCACCTCTACTTACACTAAAGTCAGTCCCATTTCTACTTCATGTTTCTATGCATTTCACTACTTCACATGATTAGATTGAGTAATATTTGTCTTTCTATGCCTGACTTATTTTCAACTAGGCTAAGGTTCTTAATTTTAGGTTTCACACACACAACATTTTCATATATATTCATCTTTCTATAGACACTCGGGGCCCCTTTCGTATCTTGTCTGTTTATTGTGAATAATTTTGCAAATATCTCTTTGAAAAGCCTGCTTTGATTTCTTTCAAATATATAAGCAGAAGTGGGATTGTTGGATTATATACTATTTCCTTTTTTAATTCTTTTTAAAGGTTTATTTACGCATACAAGAACTGGGGTACAGGCCAGACGTCTGGAGGTTGAGGGGTTTCACCAGTGATCTGTGGGGAACAGAACAGGCAGATCACTGAAACACACTGCTGAGGGGAGCACCAGGCAAGATAGGAGAGGTCTCCTGTGCCATGTGTGTAGCTCCCTGGCCGGGGGATTGAACTGGTGCTGCAGAGGCTGCCCATAGATTCATAAGTTGCATCTTAAACACTTGGGCCACCAGGGAGGCCCCTTTTTTAATTTTTGAACAGCTTTTATGATGTTTTCCATAAGTTGTTATACCATTTTATATTCTTATCAAAAATGCACAAGGGTTCTAATTTCTTCACATTTTCAAGTCTCATTTTGCAGGGAGTGATACTAATGGATGTAAAAAAAAGCTTGATTGCATATGTGATTAGTGGCATTGAACTTTTTATATGCTTGTTGATCTTAGTTTATTTGCATACATATTTTAAGGGGTTTTTGATCTTGTGATATTTATCTTGCTTTCTCATTAAGTTATTAAGATTATTGTTAATTCTTCAGTATAATTCATTAGTGAACCTTTCTAGCTACCGGGCTTTTGTTTGCTGAGAATGCTTTTGATGACTGCTCTGCTCATTTTTTTTTTCTAGGTCTGTTGGTTATTCTCTAGTTTTTTATTTCTGAGGTTAAACTGATATATAACATTATATAATCATATTATATAGGTTATATTAGTTCCATGTGTAAAACATGACTATTTGTGTGCATTGTAAAATGATCAGCCAAAATGTGTTTTGCTGTGCATAGAATTAGAAAAAAAATTTCCTTGAACTTTTGTATACTGTATTGCATGAAATACAGTATACAGCTATAGTGCCTTGCTATTCATTAGAGTCCCATCACTTTTTAATTTTTCATATGGAAATTTATTCTTTGATCCCCTTTATCCATTTTGTCTAGGACCTCACTGCCCTGCCTCTGGCAGCCTTTAGTTTGTTTTCTGTATCTATGAGCCTCATATTCTTTGTAGATTCCACATACAAAGTGAAATTCTATTTGTCTTTCTCTGTATGACATTACTTAATCATGGCATCTGTTGGTGTCATTATAATTAATGATTTCATTCTTTATGACTGAGTGATACTGCATCTTATGTAATGTGTTAGTGTATATCTATTTATGTCTCCATGAATACTGAAGTGTGTACACTATTAAAATAATGCTACTGTTTATTTTTGGAAAAACATCTCTTCAGTTTGCTATTGAATTGTATGAGTTCTTTATATATTTTGAACACTAACTCCATACCTTTTATGTGTTTGCAAATAATTTCTCCCATTCAATAATTTGCCATTTTATTCGTGGCTTTCTTTGATCTAGTCTCCCTTTTCTATTTTTGCTTTCGTCTCTTTTACATCGGTCTAAGACTGAAACAACATCAAGAAAGTGACATCAGGGCCTCCCCGATGGCACAGCGGTTGAGCGCTGGGTTGCGAAGCTGCCCGAGGCCTCTGCGGCGCCGGTTCGATCCCCGGCTGCTCCCCGGCCACTGGAGGAGGGTCCCACATGGCATGCAGACCTCTCCTGCCGCCCGCTGCTCCCCTCAGCAGTGTACTTCG